TCACATCTTTTCCAGTCTCAACACTGATGTAAATCATTCAAGAGTCTCTCATTTGAAGTCTATGACTTCGTTTCCCCAGTGGAGTTACAACCTCTTCCTCTGTGGGATTACTGTATAACGTGCTTGGTTTCTCCAGCATAGTTTGTCTCATATGGCGTCATTCCCCATAAAATTCAAAACATCACATTCATATCATATCGTAAACATAATCGCGGTATCTTAGGGCCAAAAATTGTGTATTCTATATTTAAGTCCCTTCAATCTCTTCGAAATGAAGATCCCAATCTTCATATCTCCAGATAGAAGAAACTTAAATAGGGGCAGCTGTTGTACCCCAATTTTTGACCTAAGATCCCATTTTTATTTTTGCATTTTTAAAGATAAGTCAAGGTCACGAAATACAGTCGGTTCTAACGTCTCACCTTCGAGCTTTGACTATGCGAAGATCGTCAAGTGTTTTGAACATTTTTAGCCTATGCATCACTAATTTCTAATCGCATACAAAGGTGTATGTTCATGTTTTCTTTTGTGTCATGTACAGAGACAGGTCTGAATCAAGAGCATCAGGTGTTACACCTCAATTAAGGTTTTGAGCCTCCCAAGCCTGAAGTACGGTTGATTGTGGATTCTCGAAGCCTGATTCATCAAGGCACAACCGATGCACCCTTAATTTCGCCCCTAATTTTTTCAGTCGCACATTCATACCATATCTTGTCATTTGGTCACGATCGTTGGTAAATATCTTCATTCATCACATTTTTCATCATTAGTCGTATGTGAGTTGATCAGAAAAAGTCAGTTTAAATCAAAGTTTGCATCGTCTTTCAGTTGTAAAATACCTGACATTTCACTTCATGCATTTTTATCTATTTACTCATTTGTTGCATTGCTCCAAGTTGTTTATATGTCAATAATAAAAATATTTTGGTTTTATAGACAGACTGTTAAAAGCGATTCGACACTATGCGGGAAAGTAGCGAGAAAATATTTCAAGTTTTCACCTTTTACCGATCATTTTATGAATCTGCGCTTCGCGTAGATTATGACGGTATGCTCGCTTTATTTTTCGGTACAGTTCGAAGTCTTGTTTTTAACCTTAAACGTTTGTTTAGTCTGATATTTTATTATTATTTTATTTTTGATTTTTTTGACTTCTTGAATATTGTTTTTCTTTAATCTTCGTGACATGTAGTTTATTTTAATGTGTTCATTTTCTTTTATCGGATAAATTTTCATCCGTTTTTTATCGTTTTCGGTCATTTTGTGTCTTTATTTTTAATTCAGAAAAAATTCAAAAAAACTATTTTAAATTGAGTTATATTTTATACTTTTAGGTTTTTAAGTTATTTTTATCATTAAAGGGCTTTTCTGTCATAAAAAAATGTTTGTTACACTTTGCTTTGCTCTCATTGGTTGTAAGCAAGAATTGAGGATCGATACAAAAAACACACACTTTCGTCCTCCCTTTTCCTTATACTTTTCAAGCTCATGCAACAGCATATCCCATATGACATCATCTATCCTTCACCATTCATTTTAAAACCAAGAACCAAAACACATAAAAAGATTCATTACAAACAAAGCCCCAAAAATTTTTGACACAAAGAACCGTTCGTTCATGATGTTTAGCTTATAAGGAGATTTTGATAACACCAACAAAACAACCAGTAGCTAACTTCTTGATATGCACACTCCCACTCCCTCAAAACGCCATGAGAAAAAGACGAAAAACAACCCATAAACCAAACTGACTTTTCTCTCACTATTATGCAACTCACCCTCTCCACAACTTGTTCCTACACTGGATCTTCAAACCGAACCTCCACGATCAGCTTACACCAACAAACAACGAACCTTCCAACAAGATTATGGCAGACCCAACAAGTTTCATAGCAAAATGGTTCACACCTTTTTCCATTTTCATCTTTATAAACCTCGTCATAGGTACCATAGCTCTCACTTCTCGTTTCTCATCCACCAGAAACACAAACCTTCACTTCCACTTACTCCACCTTCCCCACTGTAACCACCGGTCCCATACCGCCTTTTCACCGTTCAACCTGGTTTTAAGCAAATGAAGATTTTAAGGCAGGAGAGGCATACAGTTTGCTTCATAGAGTTTGAAGATTTGACTAGTGCTACAAATGTGCACCAAAATCTACAGGGTGATGTTATCCCAAGTTCTGGTTCAATTGGCATGCGGATACAATATTCCAAAAATCCATTTGGGAAAAGAAAAGATGGGGATGCTGTTCCTCCTGGTGCCAACGGAGCCCCAGTAGCAATGACTTATCAGTAGCTTGAAGGGGATGTACTCTGTTCTTTATGCTCCAACCTCTTTCTATCAGCACCAATAACTTTCGTTCAACCACCGTCGATTCCGGCACCTCCACTGTACCAGTAACTCCTTCGCGAGAACGACCTCGCTTTTAATCTGCCACCAGCTTTAAATTGCAACACAGCAATCTCCAATCTCCGACAGCAACTGCTAGCAATCTCACTCCTCTCCGTTAAACCTAGCAACCGCCATTGAAACACGCCACTGGTTCGCATTGTGATTTTCCATTTCTTCTTCAGAAGTACTGCCGATGTTTCTGGAGAGGGGTTTGAGTATGGTGTTCTGCCGTTGGGCTACCAAAAAGACAGCTGGGTCCACAAAAAAATGGACGCGATTCAAAACCTAAGAACCTTGGAATGAAGAAATACGGTGGAGAGAGGGTAATTCCCGGAAACATCATTGTTAGGCAGCGTGGTACTCGTTTCCATCCAGGAAGCTATGTTGGATTGGGAAAAGAACACACTCTTTTTGCTTTGAAAGAGGGAACAGTAAAGTTTGAATGCAACAAGCTGACAGGTCGCAAGTGGATACATGTTGAGCCTAAGGATGGTCATGTCCTCCACCCTTGCTGTAACGTCTTCTTTACCTTTTTTTAATGATTATTATTTTAATATGTTATTACTATATTTTTAGGTTAGGTTATTGTTATAAAAGTTTGGGCTTTTCAATCTTCGAGCCCTTGTTTACTAACCAATATACCCTCCAATACTAACAGCACACCCCATATTTTATGTTTTAACATTATCTTTTATTCTTTTATTTGATTTAGTTTTAATCTACTTGTTTTAAAGTTTTGTTTTAGATTTAATCTAGGAGATTTAAAAATATATAGTTGATTAGATTTAATATTAGGTTTATTAGTTTAATCATATAAAATTACAAAAAAATTCCTTTTTAATTAGAACTAATTAGTTTAAACTTAGAATTATTCTAGTAATTTTGGATTTTTAATTTAGTTAGTAAAACTTTAGAATTTTAATTTAGTTTAGATTTAACTTAGTAATTTTATAATTTTAATTTAGCTTAAATTTAACTGAATAACTTTAGAGTTTTAATTTAGTTTAGACTTCATTTAGCATCTTTAGAATTTTAACTTAATTTAGAATTAATTTAGTAATATTAGAATTTCAATTTAGTTTAGATAATTTTCGTTTTAGTTAGATATCTTTATTTCATGATTTTTCTTTATCCCTCTATTTAATTTCTCATTGTTTATATTGTCATTGTCTCGTTTGTTATTCAAATTTATTTCTTCGTGACTTTTCTTTCACATGTTAGTTAATTTTGTGATATATTTTTTTGGTTTAACTCGTTTTAATTTCTATAGCTTACTCAATTATTTGTTTTCTTTAATCCAAGGGAAATGTTTTAACTTTGTTGACTTCATGTCATCAAATATATATGTAATACGATTATGCGAATTCCTTCCTTCATTTTTGTTTTACTATGTTGTTAATCAAGTTAATTTTTTTCCCAAAAGACTCCATTTTCAAACTCACACTTTTTTTAAGTCAAAACTTCGACACTAGGTCGTCGTATCTTCAAAAATCTCGTCCACACCTATTTTTAGCCAAACGAACCATTTTAATCAAACAAACAATTTTAACCAAAAACAGATATTTCAAAAGGTTCCTGCGGAGTACCGCAGATGCATTGGGTGCTAATACCTTCCCATTGTATAACCAACCCCCGAACTCTCGATCTCTTTCAAAAACGCATTGTATTTTTATTACTTTTAAGTATTATTTTACATTGCATACTTTAGGGTTTTATTTCGCTCTTTTCCCTTTTCCCTTGGAAATAATAAAGCGCGGTGGCGACTCTTGCTTTTGTGAGTCAAGTTAATTAATAGCTTGATCTCTGATTTTCACCGCTACAGGTCCTAATATGTCTTACAGACACTACAAGAAAAATGATAGATTGGGACGGTTATTTTGGCTGATTACGACGGTTAAAACCGTCGCAATTTACAATCTACGACGGTAGAAGTACCGTCGCAGAATCGTGCGTCCCCAGCCTATTTCGCGACGGTTGCAAAAACTGTCGCGCACAACAGATGGCGACGGTTATATACCGTCGTGAATTTGACTTTATTTTTTGTTTTTGTTGTTGTTTGCGACGGTTATATACCGTCGTGAATTTGACTTTATTTTTTGTTGTTGTTGTTTGCGACGGTTATATACCGTCGTGAATTTGACTTTAACCGTCGTAATCTGATTTATAAATTTCAAATAATATTTTTATTTAAATTATTATTTAGTAAAATAATTTTAAATATAATATTATTTTACTATTATATTTAAATTATTATTTACTTTAATATTTTTTTATTTATAGTATTTTTATTTTATTTTCTATCACTTTTCAACATTGTTTTGAAATGAGCAATCCAATTGTTTTGAAATATTTACTAACTCAGTATTATTAATTCAGTTGGGAAACCATTTGTAAAATAATGCAAGGAGACATTGCTTTTGCTATTGAAGCGTGAGATTTCCGTGAGATACCAGTACTTATTATTGGGAGAAAAGATTTATGAATTATTGCACATTGTAATATGCTTATACCACCTTATAACTTTGCTACAAGTTACCTATAACAAGTGAGATTTTCCGATTTTCAGGAACTATAACAAAAAGAGGTTAGCTCCGAAATCTCTTGATCATTTTGCAATCTTTGCAGCCATTTCTCTGACCAACTTAGCAGCTACCATAGCAGTCATTCCATCAACAGTATCGCGTTGTGGGTTGAGTTCAACGACGTCTCCAGCAACAACATCACCTTGAAGATTGTGTAGGATGTTAAGAACATCGCGGAAAGAAAGACCTCCCGGTTCAATATGAGACACTCCCGGAGCAAATGCAGGATCAAGACAATCCACGTCTATCGAGATATACACCCCTTTCACACCTTCCCCTAGTTTCTGCACAAGGAAATCACCAAGGTTTAAAAAGAACATACAAATGCACAAGTTAGTATCAATACATGCACACTCGGCATCAAGGGCACTTGTAGCTTCATCAAGAAGTAATATTTTTGGATCTTTCAAAATTGCTCTTCCAATTGCAACTCTTTGCTTTTGACCTCCCTAGAGTTGAGTTCCATGTTCACCAACCATTGCGTCTAGTCCCTAAGATCATTAACCATGTTTAAACAAAATGATTAAATAAAAAAGAACACGCTCAATATGAAGGGGCAGAATATTTCAAACTGTAAAATAGAATTTACTATGACGTTACATGTACATTCAGGAGGAACATGAATACCTTGTACTAATACAGTGAATTGATCGATGAAGCTCCAGCTTGGAGGAATAGAAGCAAGCAATTAGTTGTTATGCAATGTACTCATACTCCTTCATGTAATATTAACATCAACCATGAAACTCAATCACTGTCATACAGGTTAACATAAACAATAATAATTGAAAGCATGTATTTAAAAAAAATGTGAGCAATAATCACTTACAAAATAAAGAAGAATGCAAACAACCCCGATGAAAATGTAAGCAGCGCAAAATTGAATCTGTAACCTTGATAAAGGCCAAATCTAGCGATTAGAGTTCCTATGTTATAACTGATACAAATTAAACGAAAAGACTCGAATTTCAATAACACTTACTACAAATATTTCACTCACATGTGTAGTAGTGTAAATAAAACAACAAACATTAAAATTGTCATTTGTTAGGTGCCATCATCACAATACCCTATAAGACCAGTCAAGTATTTATGATGAACTATAGCAAAACATTTGGCCTTACAACTACTTTGACGTGTTTATATAAAGAAGTTGCAGAAGAGTTAAGTCACCTATTTATAGTTACCATCAGAACATCACAGATGTGAATCACCGCTATCTGAATTACTTGTCGGAGGTGTCTTTTTTATATATACCACTAGCAATCTAATTGCTGCAAAGTCTATGACATCTTTATACCGTAAAAAAGAAATAAAAAGTCTATAACATCTTACTTTCTTGGACGGTCACGTTCCACCCAATGCACAATCCCAGCATCTTCTTTGTTTACGTCGTGGTCAAGAAACTCAACATTGAAATGCTTACTGAATTCAACAATCAAGTTCTTTTCCTGCTTTCGGTACCCATCAATTTTATCTGCCAGCATAACCGCGTGTACCTCCCACGGAAGTCTGCAAGGAAACAACAAATCTGATTACTGAGATTTAATGTAGCCTTTTCTGTTATGGTTCAAAACGCAACATGAACAGTTTCGGGAAAATGATTCAAAAATACTTTTTAAGTAAATTAGCAGTATACAAACTGATCCGCACCCAAAGAAAATGGCTGCAAGTCCTATACCAATAGCTGCTGTGCCAGTACCAGCATCAACGACAAATTTTGTGGCTCTTTGTTTCCCAAGTAAATGATTTTGTGATAAGTATTGCACTAACCGAATAATACCTATACAAAGAAACAACATTTTCATTTAAGTTCTTTCCTCAACAGTCCATAAAGTTAACGGCTATGCATTGTTAAGAGAAAATGATCCCAAAGATATGCATTGTTGTTTTTCAAACTTCAACTTCCCATTACCTAGTAGAGCAACAGAATCACCAGCCCCTTCGTTGACAACTAAAATCTTTTGAAGATGGTTTCTCTCACTTCTACTTGCGTCCATTTTCGTAAAATTTTGAGAAGTAGACAATTCGCCTGTTGAAGAAGCTTGAATGATATCATTGAACCATAGGAAAGCACCACTGTTTCCGGCCACTGACCTAGCATAGTTCTTTAGCATTTCTTCCCTGTTGGCGTACATAGTTCTCGGAACATATGTGACATTTCCATATATTGTAGACATCAAGTTATAGCCAGTCAAGATTTCAGGCTGCTCTCCTCGTAGAAGCAGATGTGACGTAATTCCTCTCTCAGCACACAGAACAGCTGCAAAATAAGCAAATCATGATATGGGTAGCATTAATTGCTAAGAACTAAGCACAATATCCACCAAAAGTACACTTCCCTCCTAAAAAACATAATGCTCAGCATAAACCAGAAAGTTACCTACCAATAGCAGCTGTGTGAGCACTCTGACAACCTCCCGTCACCCCTTCTGGGTTGAGCTTACAAGACCAAGCCTCTACATGTGTGAGAGATTTTGAACACCCTTTGAAGCCAACACCTCTTATACTCTCACAGTGTGATATGTTAACTGCCTGAAGCTGACGACACCTCTGAGTAAGAGCTTTCAACCCTTTGTCGGATATTTGTGAGCAGTACGAGAGGTTTATGCATTTCAAAGATAAACAAGCAGTGGCTAAAGTCTCTAATCCGTCATCAGAAATGTTGATACACCGATAGAGACTAATTGACGTCAATGAGGGACAACCAGAAGCAACCAGGGATAGCCCGTAATCAGTAACTTTCAAACAACAATCTAGATTAAGTTTCTGTAAATTCGAACCATAGCTTAGCAGACGGGTTAATCCTGAATCATTGAGCTCCGTACAACCACATAAGGATAAAGACTCTAAATGTTGAAAGCGCATCAGTAGCCTATGGAGATGGACAGTATGAACATCAAGACCCTTTCTCGACAAAGAGGATGGATTTAATATACTGAATGAACACTCAAATTGCAGTGACCGGCGGTTGAAATTCTAAATATGGAGCCACCGTAGTCTATCATGTTCATTACAAGTTGTTCACAAGCATTACAAAACCATTATCATCACAAGTCCTTTACATCATACAAAACTTTCACTCTCTCACTTGGCTCACGATTCATTCAATCAGAAAATCACACAAAAAACTCAGAAGGAGATTCACAGAAAGAAAGAAAAACTCACCTTCTGGTTATCTCAAAACAACATCATCACCTTCCGTTTTTCAATCGTCCTCAATGCATCTTCACTGAATCAATAACTTCATTCGTTCATCATCTTCATCAATGCAAATGATTCTGCAACTTCAACCGAAACACATCACCACGGTAAAATCGAAAGAAAATTGAAAAGAAGTAGAAGAAGATTGAATCAATAATTTATATACCTTGATATTCGGATGATACAAAGATCACGCAGAAGATGAAGAAGATTGAGTCGAATCGAAGAATGGAAGCTTCACCATTCTAGGCGCAACATCGTACTTCCGGCGATGGTTCTTTGCTTCAATCGGATAAAAAGCTCTTTCACAAAACCTAATCCTCTTTCAATTTTGTTTGTTACTCCTATTTTGTTTTTTTATATTTTTATTTGTTGTATTTTGTTTATAATTTAATAATAAATATTAGTTGCTGAAAATATTATGATATTGTGTTGATATTATGATATTGTGTTGCTGAAAAAAAGTGGGAAAGTAAAAGAATAAAAAAAAGTAGCCTAACCATCGTGACAACTGTCGCAATTCAGGAATAATGCTTGAAAATCTACGACGGTTGAGCCTAACCGTCGTGACAACTGTCGCAATTCAGGAATAAGGACGGTTTTGTGGGAACTGTCGCAATTTATGTGTCGTAAATCTCTTTTTTTCTTGTAGTGAGATGATCCATTCCAAGTTTCATGCCTTGCTTAATAAGTTTGCTCAGTCAACTGCTCAAATGCCTGAAAATCAACTATGTTAGGTCAAAAGTCAACTATGGCCCAAATACAGTCAAACTTCAACATTTTTGGTCAACGTCAACATTATGAAGTGATATTCGTCATTTAATCAATGGTTGATCATGATTCCTCAAGAAATTCTCCTAACTCATCAAAGGTCAAAAATGGCAAATTAGGGTTTCTATAGGAAAAGTCAACCAAACTTTGACCAAGCATAGCTTTCACATACTTCATCCATTTCTCCCCAACCAAATATAATTTTGAAGATAATCCAATTACCTACAACTTATATTCATCCCCCAAGATCAAGAAATGCATCATTTGAAAGATATGAGCTCAAACATTGCATGTCATTTTTAAAAAGTCAACAAAAGCCACTTTTTGCCAAGACATTTTACATCAAGATAACATTTTCAAATTCAAAATTGATAAAAATAGGGATTGAAGTAGACATAATGGGCTTTCCAAAAAGTATAATATGATCATCATGAGATAAGAATGGAGCAAGTTATGGCTTTCCCAAGTTGGGAAAATTTTGGAAATTTCAAGAATGGTGCATTGAGCAAATTTGAATTTTTTGGTCAATGGCCTAACTTTTTAAGGTTCAAATATCTTCCTAAGGTCATAGAGGACCTCTAATCTTATTTTTGCACGGCCTTGCATTTTATACCTATTTTTTACATATTTATTTTAATTTATTTCAAATAAATATAAAATAAATGGTACAAAATAATTGGAAATGGGCTTAGGCATTTGGGCTGTTGTTTTGACTTGTCTTGAAGCCATCGATTTTATGCACAAGTGACCAGGTTCATCCAAGCGTAGGATTCAACATGCACCCTAGTTTGTTTCCCCCACCAGATTGGACGCAACCTCTGGGCTCTTGCTAATGGGTCCATCGTTTTATTAACACCCCCCCCCCCCATTTTTGTTTTGATACCAGACCCATGTTTTTTTGTTTTATTTTCTTTTTATTATTTTAATTTATTTTGTTTATTATTTTCAAAATTCATTTTTAAAAAAATAAAAAAAAATAAAAAAAATGGTAAATAGATTTAGGTTCTTTTTTTAAATTATATTAATTAATTAATTAATTATTTTAATGATGTTTTATAAATCTAAAATCAAATTAGACTTAGGTTCTCTTTTAATTTAAATTATTTTCTTAACAAAAAATACAAAAACATTAGAACTAGGATTTATTTCATCCAACTTTTTTTTACTTCTCTAATTAAATTTTAGATATTTACTTCACTTAGTTGCTTTATTAAAATCAAATAAAAAACAAACAAAAATATGCTCTTGTTTACTTAGGATTTTATTAGGTGTTTTTTAGACGTTTCTTTGTTTCGCGCGCTTATATTATTATGTATCTACCCATGGTTTATAATATTGTCGCGCGTGCATTTTATTTCCTGATTATGTATCTGCCTATGGATTATAATAGCCATAATTAGGATTTTTTTTATTTTCCGCACATTATATTTTAGTCAGATATAATTGTAACTGTCCCGAAGCCATGTAATAGCTGTAGGTTTCATTTTCCGCATTATATTGTATGCTTGTATATAAATTGCTAGTAATTAGGCGTGGATGACAAGATTAATCAATTAACCATTAGATCACTAATCTCAAGACAAATATCTGAAAAAAGGCACTATTATACACTTTCATCCCTAGGGTATACCTCACTTGGTTGCCTCGGAAATAATGGTCATGTCCCTCGAACGTAGGGATATCTTAGCAAAGAGCCTCAATCTAAAAGTCATCATAAAAGATCATATTCCCTTAATGTCTCTCGAGTTGCCTACAAGAAATGATCTTGTCCCTCGATGTTGCCTATATGATGATAGTCCCTTCGAATACTAAGATATCCTTACATGTTGCCTTCGATGACCATATTGTCCCTTTCGATAGTCCTTCAACATCTGACGATAGGGCTACTTACTCACTAATAGTAGGATATCACTATCTAAAGGAAAGGAGGAAAAGAACATCCTTTTTTGAGTAGGTAGACTGTTCTTAAGTACTTGCGCAAATCTGAATTTTTCACACTTACACACTTTTCAAACTTCTTTTCAAAAATGCTTTATCACACTCTTGAGGACTGATACAAGAGTTATCACAAAGCAAACAAAAGCTTTCAAAACACACAAACAAAAACAGTTTTCAAAATGAGAAAGTACCTAAGAGCCCGTGGAAAACCACGGATGGAAAGGGTGCTAACACCTTCCCTTTCCTTAATATACCCCCTTACTCATAAACTCTCAAAAAAGGTATTTTTTGTTCTTTTCACCCTTAACTTTGTTGGATAAAAGAAAAGTCGGTGGCGACTCTTGCTTACCGCGACATTTGCAAACAAAAAATGCAAACCAGTATTAAACAGTCGGTTCTTCTACCGTATCACAAATCTGGCGACCTTGATGGGGAAAATAATAAAGTGGGGTTTACCTTAGGGTCTAGATCATTTTGCTTCTTTGTATGTTTGTTTGATTTACTTTTAAGGGTATTTATTTAGGTACTATAGATCTTACACCCAGATCTAGGGAAACCTTTTAGGTAAGTAGCAATAGATCATGGAAACTGTGCGGGTTATACCGACACGGTTGAAGCGATGGCTACGTTGATGCGACACTTTGGTTGGTACCGGTAGCCCTTTAGTTAATCAAGGAGAATACAGGGCCGCTGTGTGGTGCCATAAAGCATCAACTGACCTTAAAACCTTTAAATGAACAACTTGGCCATTAGGACGTAGTGAGATGGTCGTCTTTGGTGTATTCCAAAAGTTGGCAGATACTCGATGCTACACTCGTTGAGACATGACTTATGAGTTTTGTTTGGTTGCGAGTCAGTCATCTATCGAATGAAGCTTGTGGGAAATTTCTGTGATATTGAGATCCATTAGAACCCGGTTACTATTTATAAGACAGGTTGAACTAATCCAACTTCAAGAGGGTATGACCTTAAAACCCATGCAAGCCTTAAACCTAAGGTTTTGGTGTGATTTGCTTGTGCTTTCCATATATGTAATTTCTTAGCATAATCATGACATCATAAAATGGCATATCATACTAACCATTTCAAGGATATTAATGGTTTTTTATGCAGGTTATGGTAAATCAGACGTCTAACAAGGGGAAAAGGGTATTTATTTTCCTCTAGCTAATGTCGTCAAAAGATAAAAACTCAACAACTCGAGTCAGGGGCTATGACCTACTTGATATGGTGAGCTTGACTCTCGTAGAAGGACACTCAATGATATGAAGTTCTTCAATCAAAGCTGCAAATGCTGACATTTTCTTGTTTACCCCGAGAAATCCTTAAAAACATTACATACATATCATTGTATAAACAGGTTTCATAGCAGGTTTCTCATCCTCTTCGTTGTTTATTTCATCAATGGATCTCGAACAAATAGTGAAGGATCTACAGACTCAGAATGCTCAGTTTCAATAGATGATTATGGCTCTAACCAAGGGGAAAGAATTACTAAAAGCCTTGCTTTTTAAAGAAAAGAAGAAGCCAAGGAAACCAGCTGATATGGTGAACTTGGGAAGAAGGATTAGAGGACCAGTGCGGTGAGCCTCTGAACTGGTAACTTCATCAAAGGAAGGAGACAATAAAGAGGAAGAAACAAGATAGGAAGACTCCAGTCCAAAAGAATCTAATGATGAATCTGACTATGATGAGGAAAAATATCCTCCTGCTGATGAAAAATACAAACAGTTGGAGGATCGTTTGAATGCAATGGAGGTCTGGAGGGTACCAGGTCTGGATTTTGAAGAACTGTGTTTGGTTTCTGGGGTTGTCATCCTGTAAAAATTCAAGGTGCCGGTGTTTGCAAAGTACGATGGGGTTTCATGTCCCAAGATTCCCCTCTAATCTTATGTGAGGAAGATACAACCTCACACTGCTGACAAGGACTTATGGGTCCACTTCTTTAAGGATAG